TAGTATTTGTAGTTGTAGTAGTACTAGTAGTTGTAGTAGTATTAGTTATAGTAGTAGTAGTAGTAGTTGTTGTTGTTGTTGTTGTTGTTGTTGTTGTTGTTGTTGTTGTTGTAGTTGTAGTAGTAGTAGTAGTAGTAGTAGTAGTAGTTGTACTAGTAGTAGTTGTTGTACTAGTAGTTGTAGTTGTTGTAGTAGTAGTTGTTGTACTAGTAGTTGTAGTTGTTGTACTAGTAGTTGTAGTTGTACTAGTACTAGTAGTTGTACTTGTAGTTGTACTAGTACTTGTAGTTGTACTAGTACTAGTAGTTGAAGTATTAGTTGTAGTATTAGTTGTAGTTGTTTAATTATTGTTGTTATTAATTTAATTAATTTAATTGTTATTAATTTAATTAGTTTAATTGTTATTAATTTAATTAGTTTATTATTATTGCACATGAGCATTTTTATTTTTTGAGTATGTGCAGCTGTGGGACAAAGGTCAACTCAAAGGTCAGACATCAGCGTGGCAGCTTGTACACGTTTCTGAAAAGCGCATCGGAAGAGGAGCCGTCGTGTTTTGAACGTCACACATGAACAAAGTTTAATCCTCGTGTGTCCAGAACTTGAGGTTCTAGTGCTACAGCTGGCTGACAGCGTTGGATTGAACTGGGCTGCAGTGTCGGTCTTGACCTGAACTTTTGAAGGGTTCTGGTTCTTGTGTGGTTATCAGGAATTGACCTCTGACCTTTTCAACTAAAGGAAACTGAATAATGGAATCATAATCCATTCTTATTTTATTTTTAAGAAAAGACATAAATGTACAAATAGTTATTTACTGTTCTCTTTGCATTAAGTTTGTTGTTTGTTGCAGCGATACGGTTGGAAACGAGTACGTGTGTTTGTACTCGACGATGAAGGACGTGTATCTGAAGCTGCTCTCGCTCGGCCTGCGGGCGCTCGTCTACAACGGAGACACGGACATGGCCTGCAACTTCCTGGGAGATCAGTGGTTCGTGGAGGACCTCGGCATGAAGGTAGCTGTGATTCGAGAAACATTTGAAGCACTGGGCTTTGAAAATTTTGAATTAACACCCCCTCTAGTTTGCAATTTAGGTTTAGTTTAATCAAACTGATTTAAAATGAAAAGGAAACTTGCACTGATGTGGTGCAAGTCCTTACAAAGTTTAGTGTTGCTGAGCTCGCATCTTCATAAAGATCGTTTGGCTCCGATAGTCTCTCTGGACTTGGATCATCCTCTTGATTTGACGGCTTCGTGGTTCAAACTCTTCAGCGACTAACGAGTGAAATGAAAATGAATCCTGCTCTAAACGCACACGAGTCTGGAGGTAAACGGACGTTCAGTTTGCTGCTGCAGAGTCTCGGGTCAAAGTGTTCGTCAGTGAGATGGTGACGCTCAGATGGTTTCTAAAATCTTTAAATGTGAATTACCGTACTCTCCAACGTATACCTCACACCGCCGTATACGTTGCATCAGTCCAAATGTCTAATAAAGTGGAAAAAACATAAATAAGTCACTTTGCATTATAGTAAAGGTGTGTCTCAGTTTAACTTTTCCTTAATAAATGCACTTTAATGGTCAAAAAATGCAGCTGATTTGACGTTTGCTCCACGAGTTCTGGAGCGAGACAACGGTGGCCCTTTATGGCAAGCCAAGTGTCTCATTAATTGCCACTTTTACCTATTAATGAGACACTTAGCTTGCCATATTACTTGAGGGCCCTCTAGTGGCTGAAAATGGTAGTGTTCAGTATTTTCCAGCTCAGAATGAATGAAATCGTCAGATCGCAGCCAAAAATTGATTATAAATATGAGGAAAAACATATATTAGTCACTTCGGTGTATAAGTCGCAAGACTTGAAAATTTATGCAAAAAGGTGCGACTTATACAGCGAAAAATACGGTATGTTGAAATAACTCAACCTTGGATTAGGAGTTCTTGGCTCTTTTGGTGTGCTTAAACCACATTTTAAAATAAAACATTTAAATTTTAAAATGCTTCAGAGCAAATCGTAACTCTCAAACTTTGGGTTTTGGCCAACCCTGAAAATATCAATAAAGCTGAAAGTTTCCTTATAAAGCTTTGAAACTGGGTTATAAATGAAAAAAGGGGGGGTTGGTGGGCAGCACGGTGGCGCAAATGGTAGAGCTGCTGCCTCTCAGCGAGCAGGTCCCTGGTTCAAACCCCGGTCCAGGGGCCTTTCTGGGTGGAGTTTGCATGTTCTCTCCGTGCATGCGTGGGTTTTCTCCGGGTGCTCCGGTTTCCTCCCACAGTCCAAAAACATGCATGTTAGGCTGATTGGTAACTCTAAATTGTCCCTAGGTGTGAGTGAGAGAGTGAATGGTTGTTTGTCTCGTTTGTCTCTATGTGTCCCTGTGATGGACTTGCGACCCGTCCAGGGTGTCCCCCGCCCCTCGCACAGTGATTGCTGGACATGGGCACCAGCGACCCCCGTGACCCAAAATGGAATAAACGGGTAAAGATAATGGATGGATGGATGGGGGGGTTGGTTATCCCAGCTTTAAGAGAGCTCACTAAATTTTCCTAAAAATGTTTCCAGGAAACCAGCAAGTACCAGAAGTGGACCCACGATGACCAGGTCGCTGGTTTCTACCAGCAGTTTGGAAACCTCACATTTCTGACCGTAAAGGTGGGCGTTCAAAAGATGTCCTCAGCTCAGGGGCGTGGTGGTGTCTAAAATATAATCTCCATGTTTCAGGGCGCGGGTCACATGGTTCCTCAGTGGGCTCCTGGTCCAGCGCTCCACATGTTCCAGTCCTTCATAACAAACGGGTCCCACTGAGCCCCGATAGAGCGGCGGCGCCGCCGGCGTTCTCTCAGGGAAAAACTCTTCTGGAAGTTTCTTCACCTTTGACTTAAATCTCTGGGGAGTTCTGACATTTCTGTTTCTGCTATTTGGAACGATAAATTTAATCTTTTTTCAGAAAATCTCCTTTTCAAATGATGCTGTCAGACGAGCACGTTTTTACTTTTAGGTTTTAAGATTTTAGCTGGAGCTAAAAAGTAAGTTTTACAAAGCTGCACACCTCTGCCAACGTTAAATAGATGAATAAGAAGAGGATCCAGATCTGTTTGAATCTGTGGTCTGACTGAACATCACTTCATGTTTGTGGAGAAGGAGACGAGCTGAAGGACAATTAATTAATGAACAATGTTCAATTAAAGCTGAACAAGGGACTTCTGGAGGGAACAGACTAGTTTAACAGTTTGTTCCTGATGTCGTAGTTTTAGTTTAGCGCGTCTGCTCAGCTGATCTTGTCTGGGAGCTCTCGCTGCAAACTGAATTTATTAACAGGTTTACAACCCAACAGAAATGTTTAAACATTAAATGTTGTCTGAAACAACTGATTGTATGAATATGAAGCTGCCTTTTCCTTTTGTTGGTGGAGCCTTTAATCCAAACTGTGTTTACATCTGTCAACGCCACTTTACTTTTAATAAATGTTCTCTGGATTTGTCAAAATATCTTATTTGTTTTTATTGCAATTCATTGCTTCAAGTCTCATGAGCAGGAGTCTTTAAACTGTTTTGAGTCTCCTTTACTGATGGCGACGAGCGGGTCTGGATTCACATTGGATTAACGTCGATGCTCAAAAAAACGACGGATCATTCTGCAGCCGTCTGCAGCAAAGACAAAATGTATTTAAAAAAAACGTTGCAATGTATTGATCACCCAACAGTTCAAACACCGATTACAAAAAAATGTTTAAATAAGACCAACATTTTCTGACCGCTCTTGCATTTATTCTGAAACGATTTTTTTTTAAATTCCCTTCGTCTTTTCTGTCCTTCAAATTAAAGTGTTTCACTTGATTATGAGGCAGGAAACACAAATATGTGCAAACATGACCAGAAAATCAAAACGCCGTCAACACCAATGGCTGTTTACGGATCAAATCCGTCCAGATTGCAGGATTTTATCTGAAAATTGATTTTAGTTCTCGTGCAGCTAAACTGGGAAATGCTGAGTTTGAATTAAAAACAAAAGTCGAGCAGTGGTCTCTGTAAATCGTAGTGTTCGAAAGTAACAAAAAGAAACGTTCACATTTTGGGTTTAAAGCGAAGCTGATGTCGTCGTCTCCTCCCGTTGACTTCCTTGTAAACTTGTCAGATTCTGACGCCTGCTTTGGTCCCTGAACCAGTTTTAACTTCCTGCACAGATCCAGACGTGCACTTCCTGTCTGACAGGTAATTATTACACACCTTCAACCAGTGCAGCTTTGTTCTGATTTGTATGAATTCAAAGTCAAAGAATCTCCTTCACAGTTACAAAGACCACTTCCTTTATCAGTTTTAAATGTCACGCATTAGTGTTCTCATAGTTTAGTTTTTGTTCCCAGTCAGGTTTGGTCTCCGCAGCCCTGGGATGATAAGAAAATGTTCAACGTGAGGTAAGGTATTGCTTGTTCTTTAACTCGAGATGATAAATTATTAAAGCCATAAAGTCCGTCCCTGGGTTCGATTACTGGCCAGGACATGAGAACCAGCGCATGCATTTTCAGTGGGAAACGTTCACATGCAGGTTAAAGTTCACAAATTGGTACAATTGTATAATTAAATCAATTTGATTAAGACCTTTGTACACAAAGTCCTTTAACGACGCAGACGGGAATGATCCTCTGCTTCCAGGAACGGGAGAAGCCCGCCTGTTTTCCTCTGGAACCGTTTTAAAACAACTAAAAACAGGAAGTGAAGTCTGGAATCCAGCGTTCTGTGGTTTCTTCCTGGTTCATGACGATGAGATGCTTCTCCTCATCCGCCGACCCGAGCAGCAGAACCGTTCTGACCCCGCCACCGGAGCCCCTCTTAGTTGACCACATCCTTATAGATGGAGTTTGATGTGGTGAGGCCGAAGATGAAAGCACCAAGGGTAACCATGGCGACACTGTAGACCACCAATCCATGCCAACTGTAAAAAAAAAAGACTGAAGTCAATGATTCAAACAAACCTTTTAAAATCATTTTAGACAAAGATTTTCATTTTATGATGAGCCTTTGTCACATTGACGATGATGCAACTGCAGGTTGTTCCACATTTTTACGAAAGCAAAAATGCTGATCAAAGTCAGCGCAGCAACGCACGCCAGCCTTAGAGGAGTTCCTTGTGAGAACGTTAATAATCATTTTATAAATGTTCAGAACACGAGCAGCCTCACCTTGCACTTCGGACGTCTGTCTCGGAGAGTTTGGCTTGCATCAGACACAAACCTGCGCAGTGAAACGAACACTGAGCTGACGTTGCAGTGCGACGTGTACATGTTGACCCCAAACCGTGCGCGGCGTTACCTGGGAAGACGAAGATGAAGCAGGCTGCCAGCCCTCCGATCAGCGAGATCACACGCCCGATGTCGGGGGTGAAGAGCGCGAGGACGAGGGTGACGACGAACCACACCACCGTCTGCATGATCCTCCTCCTGCGCTCACGCCGCACGCACACCTCCACCTGCTCGCCTCGGAAACGCAGCCAAAGTCCCTCCACGACGGCTCTGCGGCGTCACACGATCACACATGGTTATCATGAAGAAAGGCTGCGCAAACTGTCGTACAATAATTACAGAACTACAGAGGAGAGACTCTTAAACCAGTGGTTTATTATGAGTAGAAAGGAGGTTAATGTCGCTTCAGTAACAAGAGCATTCAAAGGTGTCTAAACTGTTCTGCTCAGATGTTTGGATTGTCCCAAGCTGGCATTAAAATATCCAAACTTTTCTGAGCCACAGCCACTAATCTTCCTGCTGGCGATCCTGACTGAGTGAAGCTCACAGATTCTTTGTGTCAACATGAACAGGGTTTCTCTGACAAGAGACGAACTCAGAGACCGCATGGGAAAGTCACACGTACCGTATTTTCCGGCGTATAAGTCGCAGTTTGTTGCATAAATTTGCAAGTCCTGCGACGAAGCGACTTATATGTGGTTTTTTTTTTCATATTTATGGCACAATTTTTGACTGGCGCTTGAAATGTGCGTTCATTCTGAGATGAACCAGAGTAAACATTAACATGTGCATCAAAACAGCTTCATTTCGCAGCGCCTCCCAGGTGAAATGAAGTTGTTTTGACCATTAAAGTGCATTTATTAAGGAAAAGTTAAACTGAGACACACCTTTGCTATAATGTCGAGCAAAATAATTGTTAAATTTTGAAGAACTGCAACGGCCAGTCCTCCCGTGCGCGCTCACTTCACTCAGCTGGTGCAGGCGGAGGAACGCTGGAGAGCTAGTGGCTCTGGCCGCGATGGATGGATGGATGCATGGATGGATGAAAGGATGGATGGCGCCACGTCGGCCAGGTGAAATGAAGCTGTTTTGACCATTAAATAAATGCGACTGGCCAGCGGTGACGCATAATAAATGCAACTTATATGCCGAAGCGACTTACATGTGTTTTTCCTCTTCATGATGCTTTTTTTTTGACTGATGCAACTTATACGCCAGAAAATACGGTGTTCAGCACAGGAAAAAAAGGCCTTCAACATCATCATCTTCAACTTTTGTTGATGTTTGCTTTAAAACAACAACTAAAGGTGAAGATTTTGGTCACAAGTAAATTTACAGAATAACAAAGAGGTGTTGGTGGGTCGTTAGCATTTATTGAGCTACGGTTTAAGTGCATTTTTACCTGCCGCAGAAGTGTAAAATGGGGTACGAGGTGACCACGCAGACGACAATGAAAGCTCTTGCGATGGCCACGGCGACGTCATCAGAAGGGTACGACATCAGCACATCCTGACTCACACTGGAGCCAAAAGTCAGGTAACCGCAGACGCCTGGTCACACAAATAAATCGCAGGAAGAGGTTAAACACTTGAACAACCACTGTCACTGTCAACATAATCTCAACTCAAACCCATTGGTTTATAGGGTCATGTACCTGTCCCCGTGTAAACAAAAAGACAGATTATCATGCTGAGTGTGACTACAAATCCCCACGGCTTGATCTCTTTCCTCCTCATGCTGTTGAACACCGGCACACAGCTGACATGGCACTGCAGAGAGAAGAACGTTTCATCAGCGTTACAGTCACGTCAGAACGTCAGTTTACCGTGATCAGGAGATACCTGGAAACCAAAGCATATGGTGGGCATTGCGTTGAAAACCGCAGTCCAGGAAGCAGAGCTGTAACAAAAACAACGGTTTAAACGACTAAGCCAAGCTAAAGGTCATGTCCATGAAGGCTGCTGGGCTGAAAGATGTGCAGCTTTACCTGCTTAGAACATAATCTGGAGACATGTTTTTGCTTGGCCAGATGTACTTGACAATGACCACAACAGTGACGTAAAAGGTTCCCATCACACTCAGAGCGCTGCAACAACAAACGTGACCATCAAGTGAAAAAGGAAAAATATATTTCCGTGTCAGAACCTGTTCAGTGGAAGAATCCTGTACCTGGCATACTTCTGAAAACCGATCTCTTTGGGGATGGACAGAGGAAGAATGACCAGGACTGCAGTGACGACGATGGTGAACTTTCGGTCCGTGTACCAGGGACCGCCGGAGTCGCCGTCAGAGTCATGAGCCACGGCAGCGATCACTGAAACAGAAACAGGAAACACACGGTCTGTAGGAGGCGGTAAAACTTAACAGATAACAAAATCTTCTGTAAATGTGCAGATGATGACTTGTAAACCATTAACAAGTACAGTTCCTTGAAGAACATCACGGGCAGCCTTGCATGCGCAAGTTTGAAACAAAAATGTCCTGCAATCCGCGCGCCCTCGGATTACACAACGTGGATGACTCTCGGCTACTACCACACCAAGTTTTAGCTCCTTATCTGAAAAACTGACCGAGTTTTGTTTTGCACTTTTGTTTCCTGTGCATCCAACGAATACCTTCTGAGTTTCATTGGGGACTGCCACTGCAATGCATGGCAGGCACCTATTATTCTGCACCTCATAAGAGCTTCTAGATTTCTATCTCTGTTAATGCAGCACGAACCGCAACGTGGACCCCCACAACAGTTATATCAAAACGACCGGCTCCGCACCGAGAAGGGAGCTACTACTTTTATTGAAAATCAGACTTACAATGGTGATGTATTTCGCTAACAAAGACGCCATATTTCCCCATAGGAATTGAATGGGAGAACACTCCTCACACTAACAGCTGCTGTCAAGTCACATTCATTCAACCTTTATTTAGACAGGTTAATCCCATTGAGCCTCGAGGACTCATTTACATGAGAGACCTGATTTCAACAAAGAATGACGACAACAATGGACAACAGCGACAACAATAGACAGTTATAAAAAGGCATACATTTTAAATACAAATAAGATGGCCAAAAAGTAACAACAACAGCTAGATTCTAAGGCGAATGTAAAAAACTAAAAACGGGAACATGTCTGCGTTGGTCCCTGCCAGGAGTCCAACAGATTCTTAAAGCCACTTAGAGAGGTCAAGGTCGAGAGCTTCAGGTCTTTTTACAAGATAATCCAGAAAACAGGAGCGGAGTAGGAGAAGGCCCTTTTGTCTAGTTCAGTCCGCTCTGAGGGAACACTGCAGGTAATAATGTCCTGAGAGCGCACGCTGTAGCTGCACTCACGCAGAGACATGTAGGAGGAGATGTATGAAGGCAACAGACCAAGAAGTGATTTAAAGATGAAAATGTACCAGTGAGAGAGTCTGTGTGAAGTTAATGGTGACCAGTTAACCAGTGAATACAGGGTGCAGTGGTGGGTACGATAATCACAGCCAGTTATGAATCTTAGTGCACCATGATAGACAGCATCCAACATCTGCAGCATCCAACATCTGCAGGGTTCTTGTAGGAGCGTTCATGTAAATAATGTCACCGTAATCAATGGAGGGAAGGAAAGTCACAGATACAAGGCGTTTTCTAGCATTCAGGGTTAGACAGGATCTATTTCTGAAAAAGAAACCCAGTTTAACTTTCAGTTTCTTTACCAAGTTTTCCACATGGAGCTTAAAAGAAAGATGTGAGTCGACCAAAATACCCACATATTTATAGGAATCAACAAACTCAATGGGGACACCATTTGAGGATGAAATCAGAGGAAGAACTGCTGGGACCAACTTCCTGTTTGAAAAAAGCATCCCTTTGGTTTTGTCGGCATTTAGGACAAGTTTGAGGCGGAACAAATACCATACCATTTTATTTATAGAGCACTTAAAACAGCGACAAGGCCAACCAAAGTGCTGTACAGACAGAACAACAGGTAACACAAAAAGCAATATAAAAATGAAGTAAATCAGAATATAGACATAAAAACGATGCAGATAATGACGACAAACCAGTGTCAGATCAGACCAAATCAGACTGGATGTTGTTTAATGCAGATTGCAAAAGCTGGAAAGCCTTTTAAATTGTTTTAGCTCGACAATAAACAACTGTGTCATCAGCATAGAAATGTATGGATGCGTCAAGGATGCTCTGACCTACATTACGTATGTAGATTGTAAATAGGGTGGGTCCTAAGATTGAGCCTTGTGGTACACCATTGTTGATTGTTAAATAACTGGAGGAAGTACCATTATGTTGAACACATTGTCTCCGATTTGAGAGACAGTTAGAGAACCATCCAATGGTGAGATCTGAGAAACCGATTTCTGAGAGTTTATGACACAAGATGTTATGATCCACAGTGTCAAAAGTTTTAGACGGGTCTAAGAAAAGTGCAGCATCCAGTGCTTCAACAACGTCATTAAGAACCTTCAGTGAAGCAGTGGTTGTGCTGTGTTGTTTCCTGAAACCAGATTGATGGAGAGGTAAAATGTTCATTGAGTCCAGGTAATTTTTGATTTGAGAGTTTATCAGTTTTTCTAGACCCTTGGCTAAAATGCAGAGTTTAGAGATTGGTCAATAGTTGTTCAGTGAGGTGGGGGTTAGTGGGCAAGTGAGGTGAGGTGCAACAGAAACTCACTGTTGGATATGCTTGAAAAACACAGAAAGTAAAAACCAGATAAATCTCTAGAACTTATTAACATTTGGAGCCATTTTGATTCAAGATGGCTGCCACAGCAACATCAGCAAACACAAAATTGAACATAACTCTGTCGTTCTTTGAGATGTTGAGCTGAAATTAAGTGTGGTTGTAGCTGAGAGCGACTTGTTTTACATTCCTAATGAAAATCAAATATCCAAGATGGCTGCTTTACCAAAAAGAGAAAAAATATGATAACTCAGCCATTTTTAAAGATATTGAGCTGAAATTTGGCGTATTGGTAGCTGAGAACGATCCCTAATAGATACTGACTGAAAAACAAAAATCCAAGATGGCCGCCTTAGCTCAAAGAGAAATAAAACATCATAGCTCGGCCATTTTTAGAGCGATTCAGATGAAATTTGGTATAGTGGTAGCTGAGAGCGAACCCAAACACATATTACAGTCAAATCAACAATTAAAATCAGCAGCAGCCTGGCAGTCCCTGCCAAAGTTTCTCCAGGAACTTTCTAGTTACAATCTTTCTTATAGTTTTTGAAATATTTTGCTAACAGACAAGCAAACAAACACGAACAGAGGCATGTACATAATGGTTCACCTTCCATGACGGCAGGCATAATGTTTCATTTAATTGACTCAAAACAGAAAAAGCAAACAGGAAACAGAAAGAGCAGGATTTCTTCTGAGTCAGCATCTCAGGGGAAGAATGCGTCAGAGTCACATGAGAGACGCTGACAGAGAAAACGCTGAGCGGACTCATTCCTGACGCTCTTTGACCTCTTCATTGACTAAACCACACTTTTTATGTGTTACACTAAACATCTACCCACCGTTTTAGTAGTTAAGAGCACAAGCTGTGTTTCCTCTCTGAATGGGACCAAAATGATGTATTTCACGGCTCAGCGAAAACACTTACAGCGATCCAGCTGGTCTCCGATGACGATGAAGAACGCAATGCATGTTCCAAACGTGTAGACAGCAATGGCTACGTCACACAAGACACCCGTAACTTTCCCACAAGTGGCTCGAACAACTTCCTGATAGGTGGCTTCGTTACTGACCTGAAGAAACCGGAGGGGGGATTTAAATCGATTTGTTCACGTTAAAAACAAACACTTGAAGAAATGTCAGGATTAATACAATAAATACTGTATGAGCACACCTGCTCAGGTGGCTTTTAAAAACCAACGAATGGAACTTCACGCAACAACACTTAATTAAACTTTGTTTTTATTTAACAGTGATTTTTTTAAAAAGCAGTCTAACAAGATAGTCTTATTTAGTGTTACTGTAAATATAAAGGTGTTCCTCCAAAAAGACTTGCTGTTTATTTTTTAATTGTAGATTTAAGATGATGTAAATCGCCTTTTAAGGTAATATACTAGTAGGCCTATCGCGATAAACAATACAACAATTAATCTCATGATAAATGAAAATTATCTACCTCGTTTTCATTTATCGGCTTTATCGTGTCTTCGCCTCTCTCTTTCTACTGAAGACACTGGATGACAAAAGGCTCAACTCCGGTGCTCTTCACTGACTCCTCCCTTTCTCTTTAAAATCTGTTTTAACCGTCCAAAATCGCGTTTTGGGATCGTTAAAAGCAGCTAAGCTGAGAAGCTACGAGCTAAGCTAACAGGCCGACCTCTGGAAAAAACCTCCGTCTTGTCGAAGCTCCAAAATTCACGGTTGAAACTCGTGCCTTCGGGTAAAAAGTTGTTTTTCGCTGCAAAAAGAAGCTGAGAACTTGTTTACTGATTTTTTAATTAAAAGCTTTGAGTGAAAAATGCTCTGCTAAAGAGCTCAAACCACACAGAGCGTCCGCCATTTTGAGAACCGAATAAAGGAAGAAGAGACAGCCCGTGTCAAGAGGTGTTCCTCTTATTTTTCTTAAAGAGGCACGCTGCTCGCTCCCTCACTATCCATCCTTCGGTTCAAACAGTCTCATACTGCCATCCAGTGGTCTAAATAAGGTACTACACGCAAAACAAATTAAGTAACATTTCTTCTTAAATTTGACAATAATTATTACTGTCAATCATTTCTGAGCCCAGCAAAATTTGTTATCATGACAAACCTACATTCTAGTGATATTCATGCTGTAGAGAATGTACTTAATCATCTGTTTTAGAGTGAGCTCAACCGCACAATCATTTGTTTCAATTTGTCTCCACTTCATGTTTTAGCACGTGAACGTTTGAGTTATTCGGGAACTGAAAGTCCGAGCAGCTCGTATACAAAGTTCTGCATTTGATCAGGAGTCCGACAGATTGAAGAGACAATTGCACAAGAATGCTACTTTGAAATCTTTTTTTTCTTCTCACAAGTGGAGTAAATAAAAAAAAATAAAAACTATAGTTTGCAGCAAAACTGATTGGAGTCAGATGGCTGCATATCTTGTTCTCTGAGCTGTAAAGTGTTTGAGAATAAAATACTTACCAAGGAGCAGTAGGCGAGGATTACAAGCCCAGTGATGATGAAGATCAGCATAAACTGAAACGCAAGCACAGAAACGTCACGTTCTGTTTGAGCTGGTCACAAATATACAGAGAGGGTAGAACGTCAGCTGTGATCAAATCAAAGCTTCATTGATAAACAAAAATATTTTCTGTCAATAACAACAAACTTTTTTTTTAAATTTCAGATATTATTCAACTTCTCATACCAATTAAAGCACTGATTTATTTTCTTTAGGGTGTTTCTAAAATACCTCGGACATGATCTGTCTGTCAGGCTTTGAGATTCTATGCAGCACTTTTCCACCTGCAGCCCAGCTGTTTATTACATTAAAGTTCCTGTTTTAAACGAAGAGGGGCAGCACAAACATCTCCTCACCATCTGAAGCATCACTCCTGCAGTTACTCCTCCGGCCATGCTGAAGGCTGCGGGGAAGTTGAGCAGACCTGCTCCCAGTGCTGCGTTCACCACGATGAAGACGGCTCCCACGGGTGACACGCCTCGCCTCCTCTCCTCTGCCTCAGGGTGACGGGCCGAGTCCACGCTGGGGCTCTGCAGGAGCCACGCTCGTTCTCCAGAGTCACTGCTGCCGAGCCCGGCCCAGTCCTCGATGTCAGTGTTTATCGCCATGAGAGAATGGGCCTCAGAGGAAATCGATGTCAGAAGATGTGAATATCAGTCGAATGAAGCTGAAGATTATGGTCCTGAGTTGTGAGGAAGCAGCTGAAGTTTCTTATCCAGAGTGATCAGGTAACAGTGAGACATTTATATGCAGTGATTGAGCTGTAAAAAAAGAAAAGTTACAATTAGTCCTGAAGGCATTGACAGTGCATAACGGTGTCATAGCATACTTTTTATTAATCTAAATGTTTCCTGTTTGCACCGTGACAGGAGCTGCTTTTAATCTCATTGTACACGAGTAAAGTGACTTCCATTCATTCATTATGCAATAAATATAAATGAAGTATAAAGATCTTTTTGTCTCCTTTTTTGCAAAACAGATTGTTTACTCCTTTCTAAAAGTATTTATTTGTCGCTGAATAACTTTAAGATCCTTAAACGCTCGCTGATGTGTGAAAAGTCCTCAATCTTTATTAAAAATAAACTAAACTTTGGACCAGCAGTGATTCCAATATGTTTCAGAAAAAACTGTACAAACAAATCAGAATAAACACCTGCATTAAATTAAAAAAAAGTGAATTCAAATGCTTGTCTCAAAGATGAAAAACATTAAACAAAAAAATTAACTTTTCACTGCCTATCACCAAATAATAACGCTATAAAACAGATTATTTGTACAAATAAGATTTTCAGAAAATCAAAGGTTTGTTTTTCATTTGTCACTTGGTGACTCGGAGGATTAAAACAACACAAGAAAACATAAATTATTGAATAATCTCAGGAACAGCCGTGAATTAAACTGCTCGGTTTAATTTATGTCAATAAAGTGAAAAGGTTACCTTAATAGGAAAACTCTTTATCTGCACCCTACAAGAAACACGGCTCCAGTGTTGCACTATTTAAATTGATTTAATCAACGAAGAGCTAACATTTTGACAATAACCTTTGTTATTACTGTGCCACAACAGCTAGCTAAAAACAGCGCGACTATCTAGAATAAAACGATAATTTTTCACCAGAATTCACATTTGAACACGTCTTTATTCGTCAAATCGACTGAAACCAACTCGTTAATAAAGAAAAAGAAACACAATGACTGATATTTACCTTCTGCTTCTATCGGAGGAATCGACTGAGACCCGCCGGTGTTTTCGCCAGCTTGTAAATAGCAGAGCGCCCTTCAGTGTGACGTCACGTGACTGAATGGTGCATTGTGGGGAATGTAGTTATCAGCTGAAGGTTGTGACAATTCTTAGTTTTATTGAAATCTCTGCATAATTGTAAGATTTGAGCAATTACATTTTTCACAGTAAGGGTCATTTAAGGGTTTTATTCTTCTTTTGGCTTTTACCTCTTCAGGGGTCGCCACAGCGAGTCATCCTCCACCTCACGCTGTCCTCTGTCCTCACTCCAACCACCTCCATGTCCTCTCTTACTGCATCTTTTCTTTGGCCTTCCTCTTTTTCCTGGCAGCTGCATGTCTAACATCCTTCTACCAATATACCCACTGTTCCTCATCTGGACATGTCCAAACCATCTCAGTCTGGCCTCTCTAACTTTATCCCCCAGTTGTTCAACCTGTGCTGATTATCTCATTCCTAATCTTATCCATCCTAAGGAGAACCTCAACATCTTCATTTCGGCCACTTCCAGTTCTTTCTCCTTTCTTTTTGTCCATGTCTCTGTCTCCAGACCATACAACATAGCTGGTCTCATAACTGTCTTGTAAACTTTTCCTTCGACCTTTGAGAATACCCTTTTGTCACAAATCATTCATGAAACTTTCCTCCATCCATTCCTGCCTGGACTCTCTTTTTCACCTCTTTACCACACTCCCCATTTTCCTGCATATACCACAAGTCCTTTGACCTCTGCTCCTTGTAGCCTCACTGTTCCACTGGCCTCCCTCTCATTCACAAACATGTACTCTACAACAGCTGACTCTCATTCCTCTTCTTTCAAGTGCATACCTCCACCTTTCCAAGTTCTCTTCCACCTGTTTCCTGTTCTCATTGCAGATCAATGTCATCTGTAAACATCATAGTCCACAGGGACTGACCTCATCTGTTAATCGGTCCATCACCAGAGCAAACAAGAAGGGGCTCAGAGCCAATCCTTGATGCACTCCCACCTCCACTTTGAAGCTATCTGTCACTCCTACAGCACATCTCACCACTGTCCTGCTGTCCTCATACATGTCCTGTACCAGTCTAACATACTTTTCTGTCACTCCAGATTTCCTCAAGCAACACACCTCCTCCCTCAGCACCCTGTCATGTGCTTTTTCTAAGTCCACAACGACACAATAGAATTCTTTCTCACACTCTCTTTACTTCTCCATCAGCATCCTCAAAAGCAAAGATGGCATCTGTGGTGCTTTTTCTTGGCATGAAACCATACTGCTGCTCACAGATAGTCACCTCTCGTCTAAGTCTTGCTTCCACAATTTTTTCCCAGATTTTCACCGTGTGGCTCATCAATTTAAATCCCCCTGTAGTCGCTACAACTCTGTACATCACCCTTGTTCTGTAAAATGGGCACCGGCACACTTCTCCATTCCTCAGGCACCCTCATATATGCCATTGAATATTTGAGCCAAAACCCTCACTGCCACTGGTACGTCATCCATTCCTACGGCTTTCCCTTTCGTCATTCTTTACAGAGCTTTCCAGACTTCACCCTCATTAATTTTTCCCACTTCCTGGTCCACAGTTTCTGACCTCCACTCTTTTCTCTTTCATTAGCTCCTCAAAGTACTCCTTCCCGTCACACCCTCACTTGTTGGAACCTTGCAATTCATATCTTTAGCAAGCCTAACCTGCTGCACATCCTTTCCATCCTGATCCCCGTCTTGCCGATCGGTACAAGTCCTTCTCACCCTCTTTAGTGTTCAGTCTCCCATACAACTCATTCTGATTCATATCCTTCTGCTTTATCTTTGCCACCTCCCCATTTGCTCTACATTGCATCTCCTTATATCCCTGTCTCTCTTCAGCTCCCTTCATTAATGCTTTAACTAGATTAACATTCTAGAAAACATTGTTCATTGCAAGCTCAGGACCAGTGATAGCAGATTACCCAAATCTAAACAGAGTATTTGTAGATACAAAGTTTTCTTTGGTGAAAATAAAAAAAATTGTTACAAAAAGTAAGCAGAGCAACTAGGAATAAATTACATTTATCTGATCTTGCAATAGTGAGCTTGTATGAATGCAAGAGCATCCATTACATTTATCCGTTGCTTCCTTTTCGAGTCACATGGGGTCACTGTATGAGAGGTGGGGGACACCCTGGACAGGTCTCCCGTCCATCACAGGGACACAGAGACAAACAGCCATTTACACTCTCACTCACACCTAAGGACAATTTAACAGGTTTATATATAAATGATCACTTTGTTAAAAGTTATGAATAACCTTTTTATAAAACAATATATAATTTATCAAAGGGACCCTTATGTCACCATTTGAACTAAAGCAGCAAGTTGCCTTTATTAAACCATCTATTCAAATAAAAACTAAGCTTGGAGCATAGTGATGAAACGTGTAAAGAAAAATCAGCGACAAAAACAACACTCTAGAATGATTTATTGATTTTTTTTTCCGTCAAGAACACAATCCACAATCTTTGGAGTCACAAAATGCAGAACATGGAAATGAACATCCACAGGTATGAGCAAACGGGAGCAAACCCACATTTCTAGATGTCATTTGTGTCTCAGTCCCAGTGATGAAGAGGTCAAAGCACCGACCTGGCACCTGAGCCGTCGACCCCACTCCCCCTGAGGAGGTACCCAGGTCATTATGAAGCAAACATTTAGAAATGGTGCTGTTGTGTTCATGGCTGGATGGCTCATAAAAATATTCAAATATATATATTACTTTTCAGAACTTAATCTCCATTTTTTTTCCACTTTTGTGCTCGTCTTTGTAATGAGGACCAACTGCTGCCCTGTGACCACTTAGGCTGAAATCACAAAACCTGCAGGAAAATTATTGAAAGCAAGGGAAGTATTTGGAAAGATAAAAGCAACTAAACACCAGAATAATTGATCAAAGTGACTAAATAAATTGATAACCTGATAAATACCCATTTATACAGTAATAAACTTAGTGCTACACAACATCCATTTAAACAAAATGGCAAAATGTTTTTCCTACAGGCTTTCATTAAGTGACAGATCTCAACATGCACCTAAAGCCAACATCCATAACTCCAAAGCTTTATTTGATGTTTAAAGCTGAGAGGCCCGAGGGCAGGTCAACAGTTGACATCTACTGCACAGCCAGCAGCCGACTCTATTTAATCAACAGGATGGCGAGCGGGGGGGATCTGTTCAATGAAATGATGAAGAATAACCAGAGAATAAACCGTTCCAAGATGAAATCATGAGAAAATCCAGATGAGGAAGACTAAGTACCGAGCTCCTGTCTAAAGGTGGGATGAAGGAGTGACAGGTGAAGCTCCTCATCACTGCAGCTTTGATTGTGTTGTTCTCCTGGCAGGACAAGCTCTACTTGGTGACCGCATGGATGGCCTCCGCAAGATAGCCAACGTTTCCAGAGGACACGCCCGCCATGGAAATTCTGCCATCCTTGGTCATGTACACGGAGAACTCCTTCGTCAGACGCTCAACCTGCAGGAAAAAGCAGGTTCACACACACAGCAGAGCTCAAATGACAGACCGCAGGTGTGAAAACCCAACAACACAAAGCCTCTACAACAAAAACAGGAAACTGTTGCAGAAGTTCGTCCTTTTCTTTCTGATGTGTGGTCAGTTTGTGTCAGCAGGGAAATAAACTACATCGACATGTAGAAATACACAAACACAATCAGAATACTTCTGCTGCTTTATACATCTCTCCTTACTCATTGAGCCCAATTAGATGAACATAGCTGTTGTTCTTTTCATATTTTACTGTAAAGAAGTGAGCGATTTATATAAATCCTGCTCATTGACAACAGAATAACACAACATCAAAGTAAGCAGAAAAGATTTCAGTGCAAAATGATTTTTGTTGTACACCTGGATTAAGAACAGGAGAAAATTTAAAACTTTGGGAGTAAAAATCCTAACAGGGTAATCTTTATTTTACAGTAAGGATGCCCAACTACAAAATGGGACAAATATTCTTATTCTTTTACGGTTTCTTTAGATGCACTTTAAATATCCAAGTTGATTATCCAAATTGATAATACAAAACAAAATGTGAAATATACCAAATATACTTACTAGGGATGCATGATATCGGCATGGTATCGGTATTGGCTGATATTAGTGATAAAGTTAAATATCAGACATTCCATCAAAATAACTTACCGATATAAAAGGCGCTTTTTTTAATATACATATATACTATACAAACCGGATTCCAAAAAAGTTGGGACACTAAACAAATTGTGAATAAAAACTGAATGCAATGATGTGGAGGTGCCAACATCTAATATTTTATTCAGAATAGAACACAAATCACAGATCAAAAGTTTAAACTGAGAGAATGTATCATTTTAAGGGAAAAATCTGTTTCCAAATTTCATGGCGTCAACAAATCCCAAAAAAGTTGGGACAAGTCCATTTTTACCTCTGTGTGGCATCCCCCCCTTCTTCTTCCAACACTCAACAGACGTCTGGGGACAGAGGAGACCAGTTTCTCCAGTTTAGAAATAGGAATGCTCTCCCATTCATGTCTAATACAGGCCTCTGACTGTTCAATCGTCTTGGGCCTTCTTTGTCGCACCTTCCTCTTTATGATGCGCCAAATGTTCTCTGTAGGTGAAAGATCTGGACTGCAGGCTGGCCATTTCAGTACCCGGATCCTTCTCCTACGTAGCCATGATGTTGTGATTGCTGCAGAATGTGGTCTGGCATTATCGTGTTGAAAAATGCAGGGTCTTCCCTGAAAGAGATGACGTCTAGATGGGAGCATATGTTGTTCTAGAACCTGAACATAGTTCTCTGCATTAATGGTGCCTTTCCAGACATGCAAGCTGCCCATGCCACAAGCGCTCATGCAACCCCATACCATCAGTGATGCAGGCTTCTGAACGGAGCGTTGATAACAACTTGGGCTATCCTTGTCCTCTCTGGTCCGGATGACATGGCGTCCCAGTGTTCCATAAAGAACTTCAAATCGTGACTCATCTGAACACAGAACAGTCTTCCATTTTGCCACACTCCATTTTAAATGACCCCTGGCCCAGTGCAAACGTCTGAGCTTGTGGAGCTTGCTTAGAAATGGCTTCCTCTTTGCACTGTAGAGTTTCAGCTGGCAACGGCGGATGGCACGGTGGATTGTGTTCACTGACAATGCTTTCTGGAAGTATTCCTGAGCCCATTCTGTTATTTCCTTGACAGTGGCATTCCTGTTTGAGGTGCAGTGACGTTTAAGGGTCCAGAGATCACGAGCATCCAGTAGAGTTTTACGGCCTTGACCCTTACGCACAGCAATTGTTCCAGATTCTCTGAATCATTTGATGATGTTATGCACGTTTGATGATGATAACTTAAAAGTCTTTGCTATTTTACGCTGGGTAACACCATTCTGGTATTGCTGCACTATCTTTCTGTGCAACAATGGTGGAATTGGTGATCCTCTTACCATCTTGGCTTCTGAGAGACACTGACACTCTGAGAAGCTCTTTTTATACCCAATCATGTTGTCAATTGACCTAATTAGTGTTTATTGGTCTTCCAGCTGTTCGTTATATGCTCAATTTCCTTTTTCCAGCCACTTATTGCTACTTGTCCCAACTTTTTTGGGATTTGTTGACACTGTGAAATTTTGAATCAACATATTTTTCCTTTAAAATGTTACATTTACTCAGATTAAACTTTTGATCTGTCATCTACGTTATATTACGAATAAAATATTGACATTTGCCATCTCCACATCATTGCATTCAGTTTTTATTCACAATTTGTTTAGTGTCCCAACTTTTTTGGAATCCGGTTTGTATATTTATATAGTGTTACATCATTTTCAGTCCCCTTTTTGGCATCTGCATTTGGTAGAAAGCCAAACGGACAAAGAACATGCAGAATAATGTAGTATTTTATTTCCACACAAGAGACAGCTACGTAGTCTCTGTAAGTAGGTCTAGGGAAGAAAAAAAAAAACATCGGTATTGGCATCGGTTATCGGCCAAATAAGTTTTAAAATATCGGCATATCAGCAAAAAAATCCTGTATCATGCATCCCTAATACTTACAGCTAAACAAGTTCTAAAAACGCAAAAGAAATTAGTAATTTAAAAACACTTTTTAGTGCATTTAAATAAAAATATAGATATATATTCTGCAGTCGGAAAGATGAGTTTTTTTGTTTCTTAGTGAGATTAAGCTCATGTTAATCCTTGAGATATAAAGTTGGATTATTTACAGACATGTCTGCGAGGTATACACGTTCTTATTAAGATTTTGAACCTAACACATGTCCAAGTACCTGTTCAGGTTTGAGGCCCGTGAAGCAGAACATCCCAATCTGATCGATGACGTGCTGCCAGTTGTGGGAGGAGCCCTGTTTTTTCAGTCCCGCCTCCAGCTGTTCTCTCATCTTAATGATGCGGTTAGCCATACTGTGGACCTCCTCCAGCCTACCATCACAAACACACAGCAGGCTTGAACAATGTCCCTAACGTTGTGTGGAAAACCAAGGAGCACTTTGGCTTCAGTCGTACCAGAGGGAACGCAGATCTGGTGTGTTGAGAATGGTCGAAGCGATCCTGGCGCCGTTCATCGGTGGGTTGGAGTACATCGGCCTGATGAGGATCTTGAGTTGAGATTCGACTCTCTTTGCCTCTTCTGCATCACTGCACACCACAGTGAAGCCTCCCACACGTTCACCTGTCAGCATTCACGTTAGAGTCATCGGCTCAAGAATGTCAAACTGAGAGGATGATAAACTGCAAACACTCAGGAGTTAACCTGAATAATTATAACTTCAGCATAAAAACTAATTAAGTACTATAAAGGCTGAAACACAGAGTAGGTTAACTCATCATGCGATGACCAGTAAAGGATAATCAACCTTTTCACTTAATCAGATCCATGTTTCCCCACCGGGTGGTGACAAAACCACCACAAATAAAAAGTTTTTTGTATTAAAGATGAGAAATAAGAAGCAGACTGCTGACTGACCATAAAGTCCCATGTTCTTAGCAAAGGACTGAGACAGCACAATGTTGTTGCCCTTCTCGATGAAGTGGCGTACGGCCCAGGCGTCCCGATCAATGTCGCCGCTTGCAAAGCCCTGATACGCCATGTCGAAGAACACCATCAGGTTCCTTTTCTGCAAAGGTGAGAACACAGTTAATGTTTAAACTTGATGACATGACAGCCAGCACTTATCAGTTCTTTGTTTTATTACAGGTTTACAGCAACATACTTTGTCAAAATGTTCCTCGAATGTCACATAAATGATCCTCGCTCACCTTCACGATGTCAGCGATCTCCTTCCACTGCTCAGGCCGAGGGTCTACGCCCGTGGGGTTGTGGGCACACGCGTGCAACAGGATCACACTCTTTTCTGGGATGTTCTGTCAACAAAAACATTAGACTTCAGTTCATCAATATCACGCATATCCACATAAATATGAGGATAACGAGTTACAACAAATAATAATTTCCCTCTGGGATTAATAAAGTATTTTTGAATTGAATTGAAATGTTCATCTAAATTCCCAAAGTTTTGTATTTAAAGACATCGTCTTGAACATCTCTAGCTCTCTACAGGACGCTCCCTGCCCTGAGTCTTACAGAAATGTCTTCCAGAGCTCCTTTAAAGTCGAAGCCACAGGTGGAGGGGTCGTAGTATCTGTATCCTTTCAGCTGCATGCCAGCATCTCTGAAGATGGGTGTGTGGTTTCCCCAGGAAGGTTTGGGCAAGTACACATCAAGTGGGCCTGCATGGAATCGAGCCTGTGACAAATAAAGATATATATTTATAAGAACAGCCGAACCCTAAAGCTGTATTATGTTTTTTCAATATTGATCAATTATCTTAAATGACCAGTAAAAACAACATTCACCAGAAAGTTGGCCCCCACACGCAAAGATCCAGTTCCTGAGATAGTTTGAACTGTGATGCTCTGTTGGGAGAAATAATATCACTGGAATCATTCACACTTCAACCAGTTAAAAACATTTTTTTACACTGAATTTGCCAACAATCCCAACTCACCCTGCCACTCTTTAAGACCTCATTGTCTGCACCAAACGCCAGCTGAGCACAGGACTTGTTAAACTCAGCCAGACCACCAATGCCGAGATATTCCTTATCCAGTTGTTTGGACGCAATCAAAGCTTCTGCCTGAGAAAAAGGAAGGGAAGATTTTAAAATGGGATTTGATTCGATGCCGTTTTGGTAAAAGGTATAAAACAAATGCACAAAAACAATCCTAATTGTTATCTGCTGGAAATTCTTACTCAAATGTTTGCTTCATGATACCGAAACTACTGCTCGTCTTTTTTGACTTTGGTGAGACTCAGTGAAGATAAAAAATAAATTAAAATCTAACTTCCCATCTCATCAATACATTTCTATACATTTGCTTATTTTGTAAAAAAAAAAAAAAAAAAAATCCACATCAGTGGCTTATTAAGGTGTAAAAAAACACAAAAAACTAAACAATAATGTTATTAAAACAGGTGCATGTGACTGACATGAGAACAACTGAACAGATTCTAGTTTTTATTGTTTTACAGTTACCTTGCGAACACAGCTGAGCACAAAGGGTTTTCCCTGGTCATCTCTGTAGGCTCCCACTCCCAGGTTCATCTTCTTGGGGTTGGTGTCCCTCTTGAAGGCCTCAGTCACCCCCAGGATGGGATCAGGGGGACCCATCTGCACTCCAGCCCACCATGAGCTGAAAAATATATATATTTTACTACCGTTTATTTTCTGCTTGCTTTTGTTTTCAATTTATTTTATTTTTATATAACTTTATTCTTTTATTATACATTCAATAAAGTTAAACTCCAACTCAAAACTAAAAAAAAAACATACAAACTCTTGAAGATGCTCTGAACACTAGTTGGAAGCTGTCTGCACACAATCTGACACTCTTTTTCATCTCTAGAGAAATTCAGTCCAATTCAAAGTTTCAAAGTCTGAAAACAAGAAGAACAGCTAATCTGGATCTAAAATGTAGATTATTATTAATTCTCACATTCACTCAGTAATCCTTCCCACAACAGGTACCGCAGTGTTACAATAACTGCTGAGAAGATGAACTGATACCACTGAGAAATTGTAGGAGATTGGTGTAAGAAGTTGTCACATCTATATGAACGGAGGGGAAGTTTTAAAAGGCAACTATTTTCTAAATCTATAACTACCGGTACTTATCACACATGCTATTTCCTTTACATGAGCTTTTAGCTGCATTTCTGGTTCAGTTTCTTTTACTTTTAGGCATGAAGCTTCAAAACAGCTTTTATTCTTGTCTCCTATATTCATCTAATTTTATCTTATTAGATTATATTGTTGTATTTTTATTAGTTTCATCCTGAAAATCATAAAGTGGCATCTTAGAACGCTTCACTAAACTTACTTTGTCAAAACAGTACATTTATAATATTTAATTTACATTTCAAACATCTTGGGAATTTAAAAAGTTACAAATGTAAGCATTTCTTACTAAAACTTTTAAAGTAACTCATATGTACCAACTTTAATTAAAATAATACAAGGGTTAAAGTCGTTAATGTCATATGAATCAGTGTGACCTGCTGACCATCTTCTGACCGTCTCAAACGCATCATAAACACCATGGAAGCATTGTAGGCTGCAACTGTTCATAAATTATAGTCAAAACTACAGAGATGTGGGCTTGAGGAAAACATTTAGGCTGTTTGATGCATTACAGTAATGAAAGTTTGTTCTATGTTCTGACATTAACTGCACTCCTCTCACCAACTTGTCACGTCTCAGGTTCAAAACAACCATCCAAACTTTGCAGCTAAATTTAGGACCAAACACTTGGTAAAGGGCAAAAGTATCAGACTCTTGGATATTAATACACAGAATAATTTATGTATTTATTACATGAAAATCTAAGAGAAAAACGAAACAACTAGAGGTTTGACATGCAAAAGAATTCTGTAAAAATGTTAACGACTTTAACAAAGCAAGTTTTTAAAATACTAATATTGCTAAACCTAAAGATCAATTCTAGTAAAATTGTCTTTTGTAAGAATATAAAATTTGTGCACCGCATATGTTCATATTTCTTACATATAGAAGGATGAATTAAATGTTTGTGTGTATTAACAGAATAGGTTCCAATAACATAAAATTTAGTTTCTTAATAGTGTACTTTATGCATGCACACAAACAACTATGATACAGGGAGAAAAAAAAGTTTGCACAGTATTCTTTTGATGTGCTATTAACTTACCACTATCCTATATTTCTCAATCATAGCAACTACCTAAAAGAGGGCATTTTGGTTTCAGTAGATATGCGCTTTTGCAGAAAGCTTGTAATCAAACTTTGAACAGCTGTTTATTTAAACATCCCAAACTGGCTGGTATCAGTGATCACTGGGTCAAAGGCCTTCTGGCATGACATAGAACAGGACAGTTTGTCTTTTTAATCTGTTAAGAGGTGCCACATTTAAAAACAGGCAGGCAGCAGGTGATACACAGGTATATTTCAAGGAGATAGACTGAAACTAAAACATCACTAACTGAGCTCATGGATATACCCTGCAAGAACAGAGTGTGGGACCTTAAAGAGTCATGAATAAAACTGTAATGAAACACAACAAAGTCAGACATGCAAAGCAGAAGACCTAAATTTGCCCTCCAAGCAGACATTGAAAGGACACAAGGCTCTCCAGCGTCGCTCGTGATTAGCCAATCAGCGACTAGGTGAAGGCGCCGTCAGCCAATCAGCACGCAGAACGGATTTACAGTAGCCAATCAACACGCTCCATACATCCTACATGGACAAGTTGCAATGCTCAAACCGCGTGAGATTTACTGATAGTTATAGAAATTGTACATTACTCTAGGGTTAAAATAGTTTAAAATATAAGGAATAAATTAACCCACGAATTTATTCCATTATAATTGTCTCGGGTTGAGATGTTTTTCCCCCACACACACTGGCTAGGTCAGGTGAGAGCTGCATCAACGTGACCAGAAGAAGCGTCTGTAGCAACAGTTTGCCCTCTAATGTGAATTATCTGCTAATAGACTGGTTTAGCTACAAACACCTTGACGTGAATGAACTTTAGGTTGCTGAAACATAAAACTAAAATTCCGAATAAAGATTACTAATGTACTACTAACCACTACCACGTTATGGTTGCTGATGCTAACCTAAGCCGACAGCACAGACCGCGGCCTGCTGAAACCATTTGACCCCTGTGTGCGTCTGTCATTAATTAACCAGCTGCTAAGACTTCACTAACTAATTAACAACTACTAAGCTGCTCCATAAAAACACCGGGCTGACAAAACCAGGTAAAGTATTAGTTTGTCTGCAGCTTGTGCTAGCTAACGGCTAAAACACACCGTCCCGTGCGTGAACATGACTGGCTTCCGGTTTAAATAAATGCGGGTGTTCACCTGTAACGGGTGGACAAGACTCCCAGAACCGGAGAAATGTTCCCCAGGCTGGAGATCACCTTGTTGGACTTCAGCAGGGCCATGTTAGATGCTGCAGTTGGGAGTGGAGACTAGCAGGATGTGGAAGGAATGTGAAGGGCAGGCGAGCGCGTGCACGGAACGTTTACGTACGTTTGTACGCGCTGACGTCATCACGCAGCACACAAACGGGCTATAATAAAAATGAAATTATGAACATTGCAGTATTTAAAATATCAAGAAACAGAATTAAAATGAGAACAACAAAAAAGAAAATAAAACAATAAAAAGTGGCAAATCAATTTGAACATGTTAAGATGCCGAGTCATAAGAAATCCCTAACTTTAAGGGTTCAGTGTAATACAATATTTGCCATGAACATAAATAAAGTAATAACTCTTAAATACACACATGTAAGTGCATGTCCAAACCACTTTGAAAGCTTAAAACTGACCTGAGTTAATGTACTCGGTAACATTCCAAAAGGTTGATGCATTTTACGAATATTTTACCCCCTATTGAAGATATTTTCTTTTTTATCTTCATTTTTTGAGACACCACAATACTAGTAGCACTTATATCTACCATTCTCCTTGTATTTCTTATCTCTTCACTGTCTCATTGTGCTTCTCATCTTCACGGCTATTGTTTTATTTATGTTTTCTGTAATATTAAAAAAAAAAGTTTCCTTTCAAACACACACATTAGAACGCGTGAGATTATAATGTATTATTCGACTGGTAATCCCCAAAATAGTGTGGCATGCTTAGGGCAGCCAGTGAGAGTGCAAACACACAATGACACATGCACACACAGAGAAACACATAAAATCCACACAACAGCCGTGCAATCTTCAGGATAAAAGCCATCTGATGGAGTGGCGGCTGTTTTCCAACACATTGAGTTCACTGGGTTATCCATTTCAACATTATGTAACTCCAGCTGCTTAAATGTTTAAACTGCGTTAGGTCATTGTGAATAAAACCCTGAGACATTACCAAAACATTCCAAATGGAAAGACTATAAAATTAAAAATGAACTATCAACAAGCTTAGTTTTTTTGCTACCTCTTTATCTGAAGCTTAATTTCGTCCTCATGTAGCAGCATCTGTTTGACAGTCCACCTGAGGGCAATATTGTCTCACACAATTTCACTTTCTGTTCTTAGTCCCTTTGAGTTTGTTCACCTCCGAGGTGCTAACGAGGAATTTCACCTTTACTAAAGTATTTGAGCATCATGTTAGAAAATAACTTTTAAATCTGAATTTGACTCACTGTAAAATATGGGCTCTTTAGATGGAGAGAAAGTAAGATTTTATTTATTTATTTTTTTTAATTACTCAGAAAAACATATTTTCACACCAGATGCAAATTAGTTTGCATTTCACGTCACAAAGCTCCGTTTTATTTACCAACAAAATAAGTGAGATCAGAAATATTTATTTGTAAATTGTTGAAAAGTCAGTTATCTCTAGGTAGCATTCAACATTTATCACCTGCCACCATAATGCAATGCTTTTGCACCAGTTTGTGTGTCTGTTAGCAAAATATCTCATATCTTCACCTTTGGAGTCAGTTTAATTCAGTATGGCCGGACAGCTAATCACCAACACAAAAATGGCTGCAGCTCAGTAAATTAAAAATATATTGAGCTAAAATGCGGTGTGGTAGTAGCTTAGAATCACCCACAACACAGAGTTCAGATTCTAAATGGGATTTAGTTGTTTTTTTTGTTTCATTTTTTGTTTTTTGAACCCGTCCTGAGGACCAGACTTAACTTTTTTAGATTTTCTACCTGGATTATTGAGCATACATCAGGATAATCTAAACAGAAGATTGTGTACATTTGCATGGTTTGATCAAAACTGCCATAATTTTGTCCGTTCTCAGCATAAGATGATCTTAGTCTAAAACCTGGTTGAGTATTAGCCTGTCGGCCTCTGAAATAAAAAATAAAAACAAATCAAAAAACGATAATAAAGATATGTGTGTTTTTGTTTAAACCTCCCAAACCTTAAAGTTTTCTCTGGGGAGGCGGTACAGACGACCGAGCGTGCAGTAATGAAACACTTGCTCTCTTTTAAACAGCAGCGTGTGCGTGCAGCTGCACAACTGTGCATGTTTTCGGCTCACGTGTGGCTCTGCGTGCAGAAGATATGGAAGATATTCAACAAATCCATGCTTTCCCATAGAGGAGGCTTCAGTCTAAAGCAGTTCATCCTGACCTCAGAGCTGAAATCATCATTATTTTTATAGTAAAACTCCAGCAGAGAGAAAAAGGATAACAGTTTAATATTTAGACCGCAGAGCAAACAGCATGGCATCCAACTGACAGGAGGCGTGTTTCTGAGTTTAATGCTGAGTAATCTGTCGCTGCTCGGAGGCTTCAGAAACACGTTTTTATGTGTACAAGTATAATGCATGTGTGTACATTATACACTTGATACTGCAGTAGCTCCTCAGAGGATTTGGGTTTGTATGTCGTTGAAAAGCAAACTGCTGACATGGCGACCTGATTCAAAGCAGCACATATCTCATTTTATTATCCATCCATCCATCCATTATCTTTACCCGTTTATTCCATTTTGGGTCACGGGGGTCACTGGTGCCCATGTCCAGCAATCACTGTGCGAGGGGCGGGGTACACCCTGGACGGGTCGCAAGTCCATCACAGGGCCACATAGAGACAAACGAGACAAACAACCATTCACTCTCTCACTCACACCTAGGGACAATTTAGAGTTACCAATCAGCCTAACATGCATGTTTTTGGACTGTGGGAGGAAACCGGAGTACCCGGAGAAAACCCACGCATGCACGGAGAGAACATGCAAACTCCACCCAGAAAGGCCCCTGGACCGGGGTTTGAACCAAGGACCTGCTCGCTGAGAGGCAGCAGCTCTACCAGTTGCGCCACCGTGCTGCCCTCAATTATTATGTTTATTTTCATTTATTCTTTATATATGTGTCACATGTGAGCCAAAGCTGGGTTTAACTCTGTGTTTGCTGCAGCAGAGTTGACTTCATGACATCAAGTTCACTTAAAATACTTGATGGACCCTAATTGCTTTCATCTGCTTTACATTGGCTTGGTGCTTTCGATGAGTTTTAAACAAAACTGAAATAAAAGGAAAAGAAATACAGTAGTCCCTCGCTACTTCGCTGGTCGTTTATCGCTGACTCGCTCTATCGCGGCTTTTCAAAATAAGATTGGACATGACACACAATTGGCTGATTGATGGATGAGCCGCACGATCGGCATGAAATTTTTATTTAAAATGAATCATTTTAAATTATTTAGCACCTTCTGCACATTTGTGCAGCCCATACTGCAGGATAAACTTCCTGCTGCAGCTGATCAGCTGATCTCCGTGCAGAGCAGAGAAGTGGGCGTGGCCAAGAGTTCATGCTGTTGGCAAAGAGCAGAGGAGGCAGGGAGCTGAAATCATGACATTCTGTGCTCTTTAAGAGCATTTAGAGTTAGAAACATGAAGAATATTGCAATAGTGTGGAGTTTAAAACGTTTATATATATAATAAAATAAACTACTACTTGTACTACTATTCCTACTTTGCGATTTTTCACTTATAACTGGTCTTCAAGATCCCCCTCGATAAACGAGGGACTACTATATAGACCAACATTTTTTAACTAATGACAGAATTGTAGCCAAGCTGGTATTTTCTAAGGTCAGCTGGCTGTGGCAGCCATCTTGAATCAGGTTGGCTCCAAATATCCTGATGCGTGCTCAATAATCCAGGTAGGAAAATCTAAAAAAGTTCAATCTGGTCCTCTGGACATTCAAAAAACAAAACAAAGCAAAACAAAAAAAAAGTTGAAACGTTTCATCTCTCATCCAAGAGACTTCCTCAGTCTGAGGAGCTGTTTTCAGCTCAGTCTTATAAATAGCACCTTCTCAGAGTGGATCAACCAGTTTGCTGCTGACAACCAAAACCAGCTGATCACATGCTCAAGAAGGACCATCAGCCTAACAATGGATCATTAGCACACTGATGGCCGTTTACTACTCACAGGGGGTTGGGTGATACTAGCAATCACAGCATTGTAAGAGGGGGACAGTTGAACCCGGAGGCCTCCACCCCTGTTTAATGATGGACGGTTTCTTTTCACAAAGATGGCCTCCTTTACTCCTCTCTCAAACCATCGTTCCTCTCTGTCCAGGATGTGAACATCTTCATCCCTGAAAGAGTGACCGCTGGCCTGGAGATGAGTGTAGACCGCAGAGTCCTGGCCTGATGATGTTGATCTTCTGTGCTGGGCCATCCTTTTGGCCAGTGGCTGTTTAGTTTCCCCGATGTAAGACTGATCACCCTCCTGACACTGAACAGCATACACAACATTGCTCTGTTTGTGCCGGGGGACTGGATCTTTGGGATGAACCAGTCTTTGCCGTAATGTATTTTGGGGTTTAAAAGCCACTGGGACGTTATGTTTAGAAAATAAACGTCTCAGTTTCTCTGATACTCCCTCAACATACGGAATGACCACTGGTCTGGGTCTGGGTTCCTCCTTTTCACCTGATGGCTGACTGGAGTCCTGTTTGGGTTTCTTCTCTGCTTTCAGGAAGGCCCAGTTAGGATATCCACATTGCTCTAGAGCCTGTCTTGTGTAGGATTTCTTCTTCTGCCTTGTGTTGGCTCCAACTGTTATTCAGCTGTAGACGTGCATCGGTTTCATGGGATCCATGTGTTTTGATTTGTAGATTTGTGGTTGTTTCATGTTTCCTTGTGTTATTTTGAGATTCCTCGTGTTTTGTTCCTCAGTGTTTCCCAGAGTCGTTCTTACGTTCAGGTAAGATCACACCTGCTCCTCGTGTTCATCAGCCTCAGCTGTTAACACTCTCTCATTCCTCCTGAACGTTTACTGTTTCTTCTGCTGCCCACTTCATGCGGACTTCTTGTCACTTTGGGTTCTTAGTATTTCTGTCAGCTTTTTTGGTTTGAATTTTGTTTAATAAATCTCTCCTGATGCTGCTCAACAGTCCCGGTGGATAATCTAACCAGGTTGAGTCAGGTCCTCTGGACGGATTCTTCTTTGTTGAAACATTTTGTGTCGTCTGGATAAAAGACGAAACGTTTCGACAAAGAAGAATCCATCCAGAGGACGTGACTCAACCTGGTTAAATCTTCCATTCTTTCACATCCTCGTGAACGTCTGCATTATTTACAATGAATCTTGACAGGATCCAAGCATTACTTTCAATAAAAATCCTCCAATGGTTCATGAAATGCATTGTTAACAGTCGAACACAGACACAAGCGACAATTATATTAACTGTAGTTTCATGCTGCAACAAAAGTTAATAAGCATTGCATCAAGAAGAAATGAAGCCGTGTCCACGATCAGTGCAGTGTGCAGACTAATCTCATCTGCCTGCCTGGGACTGATGTGTGTGGAGGAATCAGAGCGGATAAAACCATCTTCTCCCTTGTTAACAGCTTGGTCCGCAGCCCACAGTCCCTCCGTGTCCCTCTGCATCTCTGTGGGCGTATTTACTGCATGTATATGTACGAGCGTGCACATGACCATGACCAAACGTGTGTGAAATTGAGCATTTGCTTCGAGGGGCCGAATGCGGCCAGTCATGGTGTACGTAAAGGGGTGTGCTTTAAAGATAGTGAGTTTAATTAAATATGAAAGTGCTGATGATTAATTGATGGAAGGTAGAACGTTCCATCATGGTGAGCTATGGGGAAGTTGGAGATGAACCTTAAGAGGGTGGTTGGATGGAGGTTTGCTGTAGTTAACAGAAACATCATCATGTCTTTTGATTTATTTAAACACATTGCAGTTACTAAAAAGCAGATTATTGTTGCAGCTTTTCATCTCGGGTCACACCAGCCGTTCATTAGATCTATTTTTTGTTGTTCTTTACTCAGCTGCTCCTGGTTTTGCACGCTTTAGCTCAAAATGGCTCACAAAGAGTCTCACGTGTCCTCAGAGACCCTCATCTATAAAAAATGGATCAGCACAAGCTCTTTCTACATCACGCTGGTGAAGAAAGTAACGTTTGAGCACTTTGGGTAGGAAACGCTCTTATTCTGGTCATCTGGAGATGAGATCTAAACTCAGGTGTGTGTTACCTGCAGCAGCTTCTGTGTGTGTGTGTGTTTTAAATGCTTCCATTGAAATGAATAATCAGGCCAATGATTATCATGTCATGTTTATTCATTCTCTTGGTAATATCTTTAATTGAACAGTACAAGCCTCATCAAATGAAACAAGCTCATATTAAATCAATTAAACGTAAATAAATAAACTAAAGTGACGCTACAAAACAGGAATGTCCATCATTAATCTAGAAGGAGAGTAACACATGTGGCTAAAATACAAATGCATATTTAAAACAAGATTACAAATAAATAAAGACAATATTTTCTTGTTGTCTTGCTAGATGTTTTAAAAAAATGAACAATTTATAAGGGTATAGGTAAAACAGCGGGGCCAGCAGTATACTTTGTGCTTTCAGGAGCACTTTTGTCTTCACTTTAAAAGTGTTGGGGGGGGGGGGTGTCACACATGCACCAGGTTGCATTTGGAGGCAGGAAGCAGTGCAGGAGGATGAACAGGTCCCAGGCAGGAGGGTCACAGCGTGGAGTCCCGGCAGAGGACGATCTCCATCTCCGTGCGGTACAGCTTCCCCCCGTCAGCCAGAGCCATGATGCTCTTCTTGTAATCCACCAGCCCGATGTGGCCCACGTCCTGCCACAAAGCAGACACACACTCTCAGGCTCGTTCAGATTTCTGGCCGGCAGAATAAAAAAGTATCCAAACTGATCAAATCGATGTTACCATTTTCTTCTTGTCACAGAGGTCCTTCAGCAAAGCATCCAGCTCCTGCTCATCAATGTAGCCGTTACCGTCCTGACAGAAGAGACAAAGCAGAACCTGCACAAGATGTTCCTTCTAGAGAGGCTTTAAAAATCAACACTAGTTTAATCCATGACTGCCTGAATGTTTTACTTAGTATCCCTCTGAAAATGATCAAAAACTTGACTGAAGATTGAGTGCAAAGTCCAACGTAAGGCTTTAAAAACTACCCACCACCGTTCAGGCCGGAGTTGTAAACTAAAATGTTTTTATTGTGAAGGGACGGAGTTACAGCCACTGTGACTGAACTTTGAAAATTAAGTTCTCGTGATCTCGTGCGATACTGGGAGACACGCTGGTCCTTGAAGCATGTGGCGAGAATCACTCAACTACAATCAAACAAGATTTAGCTCAACATCTGTTAAACTGTTTGAGACGTTTATGTGTCGGCTGAGGTGGATTAGCCATGGCTGCCATCTTGCTTTTTTAATTTTTATTATTAGACGTTCTTTCAACTTTGTGAGAGTTTCACTGAAATCTATTTATGTGATATTTTGCCAACAGACAGGCAGGTTTGAAACCAAAAATTACCAGTGAAGTTTCAAAGTATGTGTTGAGGATAACACTCAGCTACTACCTCACCTAATTTTAGCTCAATGTCTGTTAAATTGTCTAGATATGTTGGTGCTTGATCAAATCAGGTTAACTCCAAAAGATGTAGTTCATCCATTCAGTTCATCCATTTAGTCATTCGTGAGATATTTTGCTAACAGTTCAGACATTTGCCTTCAGCGGTGGGTGATAATAAGAGATGAGTCAAGACTTTTGCTCAGCATCCTTTAGCTGTAGTACAGTTTGGGCCACATTTCATGGATCATCCTTAAATCCTTCAAGGCTAAATTTGAGGACTCATCCAACTCTGGATGGAGATGTAGCTTTAAGAGTAAAGCCACTTGAATGAACAAAATTGCAAATATGTGGCACTAAATGTTTGTATTTAGACAAAAAATAAATGTAATTATGTCAAAATGTGGCTTCAACGTACAGCTGGGAGTATCCCTCTGTGAGCTGACATGTCAGCTCGGACAAATCCTTACATCCATTAGTTGGATTGCCATGAAATTTTCCCAAGAGGATGAATCCAAACGGCTTGATCCTCTGAGTTTTCCATCCCCCACTACCACCATCACAAGGCGGCCATTTGTAGTTTTATACAATTATAAAAGACTTTCATAGCAAGGATCCTAACTTCAGCGATTCATGCAGAAGAGGCATTTCACAGATCAAAACATCTTTTTTCACCTTGTCATAGAACGTGAAGAGGGAGTCAAATTCCTTAACGGTGAGTCTGATACCCTGCAACCAAAACAGAGTGAAAATTATTAGAAACCAATGCACATTTCTAGAAAGTGCTTTAAAAAGAGAGTGAGAGCCCCAGATCCACAACAGATATTAATCCGTGCAGATTATGATAACTGGGACTGGAGTTGAGTTAATCCACGTCAGTTTTACTAATCCTCTGTTCAGAGCATCATTGTTGATCTCACAGGCCAACACACACAAATGGGAACGCGCTCGCAGAGAAAATGCTCCAGCTTTGCTGCAAATGTTTAACCTTTGACGAAAACTCAAACAATGTGACACAAAATCATCATCTGAAAGAAATTTTCTTATTTTCTGGTGACGTTGTTCATTTTCTATAAACACCCAGTACTGCCACAGCATTGGATACTCATAGTAAAATGATTAAAGATTAGATTTTTATGAAAACAAAGAAATATGTAGTTATAAAAGCTTAAGTTTCTGTCACTTCTGTGAACGCTTATCAGAGCTGTACCGGCCGAGAGACACTGTAAGATCTTATCAGGACTATGGAAACTCGTACCGGCTGAGAGACACTGTAACAATTACAATTCAAAATACTTTATTAATCCCAAAGAGAAATGAATTGTTGTTGTAGCTCATCCTAGTTTCATTAGAGTTGTTATAGATGCTGATGGTTTTGGGCAGGAAGGATCTCTTGTAGCAGTCCGTTCCAGATACGTAGAAACGCTTCAAATGCCGATCCATCCATCCAGACACAGCAGATCTCCCGGTCTTCTTGGGCAGCAGGACTACCTGAATCCCAGGCAAAACTCATCCCCAAGCGATGGCCATTTCTCCCAGCAGACTGCCGAGTCCCTCGTCGCCGCGGACTTAACTGCAGGTGTTAAGGGACGATCTCAGTCCTCCTGCTGTCACTAGCCATATTTCCTGCTACGTCAAAGATCTCCGTGGTCAGGCACTCGAGCACAGCCTCCAGGTAGACAGTAATACATCCACGGCACCGCCTTTTCAACTCATTTGGGGTTTAGGGCTGTAGATGAGGTCTTGTTTGAGCTTTGAGATGTTAATCAGCAGCTCCCAGTTGTAGAAAACCACCTTGTTGTCATGGTTATGCATCATAACAAATGTCCAAAAGTAAAAAAGTTTTAAGTAAAAATCCTTCCAGCTGCACAGCATCTGATACCAGAGGAAGTAATCACAATTAAATTAAAGTTATCAAAAGCAAAATCTCAGAATGAATGTCAGAGAGCAACTTCAACATGCAGCCACCTTGAGCGGCGCAATTCAGGCGCAATTCTTGTCAGGACTATGGAAACTTGTACTGGCTGAGAGACACTGTAACATCTTATCAGGACTATGGAAACTTGTACTGGCTGAGAGACACTGTAACATCTTATCAGGACTATGGAAACTTGTACTGGCTGGGAGACACTGTAACATCTTATCAGGACTATGGAAACTTGTACTGGCTGAGAGACACTGTTACATCTTATCAGGACTATGGAAACTCGTACCGGCTGAGAGACACTGTAACATCTAATCAGGACTATGGAAACTATCTGGAAGTATTCATGGACAAATCTCACCGTCTTGTTGTCCATGCATATGTATTGTGTCTATCTATGTTGCTTGCTGTGGTAGATTTTTTTGATACCTTAAACCATGCCCTGATAAGGACACTGTATGAGAGATTTTTTTTTATACCTCTGTCTCCTTATGTGTCTTCCTTTTTTCTATCTAAGCAATAAGGGCAGTGCTTCTTAGAAGCTGCAGCCCCTGTACACCTCCGTCCATCTTTAGGACGGCTGTACGGAACGTAATTTCTCTGTACTTAACTGTGCGATGACAATAAAGCTTATTCTGATTCTGTTCCAGGCTCACCCTGAATCCAAACAGCATCATCAAAATAAAATGCTGTGCTGCTGTGAACAGAGCAAACTAAAGTAAAAACACATTTTAAACATTTAGTTTCCCATTAATATCCCCCACAACACATTTACAAATATTAGATGTTCAGTCGCGCGTCATTTTCCCATCAGGCTCGGTGATTGATACTGGAGCTGATGGATAAACGCAGCCATTATCCGAGCCAGAACTCAGCGCTGATGGAGCTTTTTCCCGACGAAGACTAAAGTCAGATGTTTGTAGTCGTCAGCAGCTTTTGTTGTTTAGCAGGAAAAGATTTAATGGGCAGTAAAACTGGAATAAATTACTTTTCTATCAAGTCAGACCACTTGATGCTTTTGAAACCGAGCTTGAAGCCAGATAGTGCCAGCGTCATATTCTGGGTTTTATTAAAAAGTTAAATCTGTGTCTGAGTAATAAAGTATCATCACTCCCATTTTATTTCAAACTGAAACAAACATTAGGGGTTTAAAACAGAATTAAACATCATGAGAGTGAAGTTTATGTGGTCTAAGTTTAATAAAAGTTCTACATCCCTCTGCAGACAGATCTGAGTTTTTTCAGTATTTAAAAAATAATAAATTAAAGTTAATCGCTCGTAAAAGCCAGCACTTTCAACACGAAGGAGTAAATGGTTTAAGTAAGCAGAAGAAACGTGTTTTTTTTTTTTTATATCGGTGAGTGGCATCAACATGCTGGAGGAGAAAATCTCCATGAACAACCAGACTGGGTCAGCTGGAACAGATAAAGATCAACTTGGGGATTAAAGGAGGGTTTTAAAAAAAATGTGGAGTTTTCTTTTTCAAAATGTTCTGCTTTGTAAAGGCTGTGAACTTAAGTGATCATAAAATGTCACTTCTCTTTAAAAACAATACATGAAAAGTTCAACTTCAAAGGTTTCAGTCAAAGAAGCTCTGCCCTGTCATCTAGAGCGGCTTCGGATGTTATCAGCCCATTAAATGGCCCATTAGTTGTTATCATCCCCATATGTAGCGGTGAGACTGTCCTGCCTGCCTCCTAGTAGGGTTAAAATTTCGTTATTATCGCTGATAATTGGCAGCGTCGCACAGGGGTAAACCAGGAAGTTTGGGTTTGGTTTTTTTTTCAGCTTATGCAACCCTGTTCCTAAACGTAACCTTACCTGACCTAGAGGACCAACCCTAAACGTAACCCCCTTACCCTTGTGCCTAAACCTAACCAAGACCCTAAACCTAACCACCAGACCGTTTACTCTGAGCCTAACCACGTGAGCCTATTGTGAGCGCTAACAACGCTAACAACGTACCTTTAAACTCACTAGGAGGTACAGGAGGAGCAGTCTGACCGCTACATTTGGGGATAATAACAACTAATAACGGTCATCGGCAAGAGAACCTCAGATTCATCTTTTTGCATCTAAACTTCTTCTCAACTCTGGTGCAGCTTCAGTATTTGTTGCACTTTGGCAGACTTCCAGTGAATCAAAGACCAACCTAAAAAATGTGAGCTATTTATTAGGAGGCAGAAGTCCAACAGACTATTTAGAGGCCTTAACGCAGGACCTTGGGCTGCATTAAGGCCTTCAAAACCTGGTAAGATATGCCGCATTTTTTGGCACACTTAAGACTTTTTAATTTTCTCAAAAATCGACATTGAGCCTTATAATACGGTGCGCTTTATGTATTAATTCTGGTTGGGCTTATTGACCTCAAACCAATTTTATGTGGTACACAGCGCTCAAAAATCCATCAAAATGAACTTGTTTAGCTCAATGAGCCTTATAATCCGGTGCATCGTATGTATGAAAACAGACCCGTTCATTGATATTGCGTCTTATAGTCCGAAAAATACGTTAAACTATTATAATTAATCATTCAGGCTCTTGTTCTGCAGCTCACAGAGGGAAGAGGGTGATTGGATTTCATTAACAGTTATCACAGAGGTTATATGTGGCTCTGAATTCTAAACAAAGTCATTGATTATTGATATTTAACTTTAAAACGTCATTATTTTAGTAGGAATCAGTACGAATGAACAGCTCTCGTAGTTTGGATCTTCCATCCATCCATTATCTTTTACCCATTTCTTCCATTTTGGGTCACGGGGGTCACCAGTGCCCATGTCCAGCAGTCACTGTGTGAGGGGCGGGGGACACCCTGGACAGGTCTCCAGTCCATCACAGGGACACATGGAGACAAACAACCATTCACTCTCTCACTCATCTAGGGACAATTTAGAGCTACCAATCAGCCTAACATGCATGTTTTTGGTCTGTGGGAGGAAACCGGAGCACACGGAGAAAACCCACGCATGCACATAGAGAACATGCAAACTCCACCCAGAATGGTCCCTGGACTGGGATTTGAAGCCAGGACCTGCTTGATGCGAGGCAGCAGCTCTACCAGTTGTGCCACCGCGCTGCCTGGTTTGGATCTTTGTGTTTTCTTTATTGCATTTCTGCTTGAGTTTAGACAGTTTGGGTTATTCAGCTACAAGTTAATTATTTTCTTCTGGTAATTCAGGACACAGACTCATGATGTCCTCAACATTCCCTGGTTCCAGCTATATACAACCTGTCTTTGGTTTGAAATCAGCACACCTGTTTTCACTCATTAAAACTCAACTTGAGAGCGTGAATCCTGCTCGCCTGCGTGTCAGTCCATTTCCCCACATGCTCCCACTGGGTGACGCGTCTCTACGACGTAAAAAAACGAGGCAGAATATCGGCGGTCTTTGCCGTGGACTCCCTACATACACGTGACAAAGCATGATAGTTTGTGGAAGGTTCTGAGAATGCACTTGAGGGTTTGTCATTGTGGTAACAGCGGGTCAAAGTTCTGGGTGGAGTGTGGGAGAGTGCTGTGGCCGCCGATCCGTGACGCTTGGTTGTGACGTGTTTGAAGCCGAACTGTCTGTGCTGTCACCTCTTCCAGCTCTTCTGGAGGATTCCCAGGCCAACGAAGCGACGTAGTCTCTCCAGCGTGTCCTGGGTCTCTTCCCAGTCAGACTTGCCCGAAGCACCCCTCTAGGCAGGCACCCAGGAAGCATTCTTACCAGATGCCTGAACCACCTTAACTGCCCCTCTCCATGTGGAGGAGCTCTACTCTGAGTCTCTCCCAGATAACTGAACTTACAGATACCCCACAGAGAAAAATCATTTCAACTGCCTGTACCCACAATCCCTTTCTTTCAGTCACTACCCAGAGTTCATGGCCACAGGTGAGGGGAACGTAGACTGACTGGTAAACAAAGAGCTTCTTAAGCTCCCTCTTCACCACAACGGACCGGGACAGAGTCCGCAATACTGCAGAAGTCACATCAATCCATCTTTTGATCATGTTGCCCATTCTTATCTCACTCAAAAAAACACCAAGATGCTTAAACTCCACTTGAGGCAGCACCTCATTCACAACCCAAAGAGGGTAATCTGGGCTCAGATTAGGAGGTCCTGATCTTCATCCCAACTGCTTCTCGCTCAGCTGCAATCACAATCTTCTAGCTACGACTTCTTCTAGTTCCTGTGAGTCTGAAAGTTAGTCCAGGATGGGTGTGTAGAGCATGGTGAGGGTGCAGGAGAGTGTCCTGGGGACGGGAACAATCTGTGAAGGTGAAGAGGATTTCACAAGGGCATCATGGCTGCCTTCACACTGACTGAGGCTGTCCAAACTGGACCAAATCCAGCCATGTTCTAAAAGTCACGTGTCATGGAGTCATGAAGGAGACCTTTTTGACATAAGTGTGCAAGTCCTTTCAAGAAAGTTGGTATTGTAAGAACGTCTGGTGTTGTCGACGTCTCCGTTTCACAGGCTTACCTGAAACTTGAGCAGGAAGTTCTCCTGGATGGGCAAAAGCCTGTGGTCACACACAGATACTCATCAGTTTCGATTTCAGCAGCATGTTGGCATAAATTTTAAATAATGAAACTTTAAAACAAAAAAAGAGAAGTGGCATTCACCTCGCCATCTCAGAGAGGCCCAGCTTTCCGTCACCGTTGAGGTCGAACATCCTGAGCTACGCAGGAAGAACATGAAAAGGACAACTTCTGAATAAACACCATGGATCTCAAGTTAAACAGCTCAAAGATGGAAACCTGACCTGAAAAGGGACGTCTCAGCACTGGTGACCATGAAAAGGTTCATATTTGGTAGAAGAATTTTGTATATCGTATGTGATTTCCCTTATTGCGAGTGTGTTTTTCTACTAAGGTTAACTTCGAGAGTAGCAAGAGTTTTGTCTGTTACTTTCTTTCACTTTTCAACTAATTAAATAAAGAAGTTTTCAGCCAGGCAACCAAAACTATGATAGGTGGAGGTATTTGTTGCTGTAAGGATGACACTGTTGGATTTTAGGTCAGGGATGTTCAATAAAACTGCTCAGGGGGGCCGTAGCTTCTGAAAGCCAACAGCTCGGGGGCCGGACATGCAGCGATTAAAATAATTATATAAATAAAGCAAAGTTTAAAATGACTTGTTACCTTTTAAATTTGACTGTTGTATTGCATAGAGCAACATCTCTCTCCTCGTATTTTTCATATGTTTTGTCAAACTTCAATCCTGGACTCCTGAGGAATTATTGTAGCTCGGGAGCTAAGTGACGTACATCCAGATAAACATTGTCAATATTATATGTTAAATGTTTGTTTAAACTATAGAGAAGCAGAGTTTCCCAGAGGCAGCAACTTTTATTGCTAGAATATAATTGATATTTTCAAGGCTGCTATCGTGAGAATGGTGGATGTTCGAGGTTGATGGGGTGTAACGCTGCTCATCTAATCATTAATGTCACGACACTCACAATCGTCTGCGTGTACTCGTTCAGCTTCTTCTCATCGTAGTTTCTGTTTGACTTCTTCAGCAGGTCTGACAGGAAACCCTGAGGAGAGAAAATCAAAGCAAGAGTCGGAGAGGAAATTGTTTTACACGCTAGCGTGATTGACCAATTCTGGCAGAAATAATGAAATTAGTGTTTTTAAAAGAGGCTGTATGAGTTTTTGTTTTCCACATGACGAAAGCAGAGTGAGCAAAGTGTTCAGAGTAGATAAATGTGGCGTTCAGGGACCCTGTCCCTCACTACTTTCATATCCTGAGAAATTAGCACCAATTATACAAACTGCATAATAATCATTTCACTAATTTATTTACGGTAATTACCATTCAAGCATTCATGCACTAATAAATTATAAACTAAAATAATTCAAAGTTTTGCTAAAAACGAAAAATGAGACTAATCGTCATAAATAATACACAGAAAGCACAATATATTCTTGTATCTGACTGTATTAGTTGGAAGTATTTTTTTCATGTAGAGCAAAAACCAATTGTCGTTAATTAAATATAGATGTTTTTAGAGACAACGATCTTGGCTGAATGTGAAAATGAACCAAACTGTGAGGAGTTTTTACCTGCAGCTCGTTGGATTCGATGTATCCACTACGATCCGTGTCGTACCTCCTCCAGGCCTGCAGAAGAACATTTAGATCTTAAAACACACGCGTAAACTTTAGTCCAAAAACACACAAAAACCCTGCAGCAACTGTCCCTTTAATACCATCTGGATTTGTTGGAGCTCTTCTCAAAGATGGCTGCAGAAACAGCTCAAACCCTGTAAGCTGGCTGCATTCATAATGGATGACTTTCTGAGAAGAGCTTTTAGCACACAAGCAGCCCCAACATCACACCTTAAAGTTCTCCTGGATCAGGGTCAGAGAAGTTTTTTATGTCTTCGCTGAAGAACAGACGAGAGGTGAAAACATGAGTTGTTTCACCTCTGTAAAGGTTTAAATAAATACTGCATACATGTACAATATTTCAACAACACGGATAACTGGGCGGCTGTGGCCGAGTGGTTAGAGCAGTCGTCTTCCAATGCGAGAGTTGGGGGTTCGATTCCACCAGCAGTCACATGCCGAAGTGTCCCTGGGCAAGACACTGAACCCCTCATTGCCTCATCGGTGTATGAATGTGATAAAGCAATGATTAGTCTCTACAGATTCAGATTAGCTAGAGAGGTAGTAGAGAGCTGTATGAATGGATAAATGAGGCTCGGATTGTGTTGTAAAGAGCTTTGAGTATCTTGATAAGATAGAAAGGTGCTACAGTCCATTTACCATAACTAAATTTGAAAATCAGAAAGCTCTGAGGACATCTGAACTCTGGACAAACACTCTAAATGAACCGTTTCCGTCCTTTCTGGGCGGTCGTGGTGTAAAACAGACGGCCCAACTTGGCAACGAACCCAAATAAATGATGGGACAGCTGAACTGGAGTCCCACAGGACGGACTGCGAACGCAACGCCAGCTTCAGACATCTGTGAGGAACTTTCACAGCTCGTGGTTTAACAGAGAAGAAAAAAAAGCTGTTTTTGTCTGTACACCGACATCTGACGTGAATGAAAGCTCCACTGAGCAGATCTCATGTAAAAAAAAACGTGACATAAGAGCGCTCGCTGCGTGCCGTGAAGCAAGAAACAGGAAGACAAACGTGAATAAATACCAACTTACATCCATGAACTCAGAGCTGGATCTTACAAACTCTCTGAAACAGAGCAGGAAGTTTTCTTCCGTAGGCAGAATCTGGGCCAACTACGAGAGACGGAAGGATTTGATCATTTTACTTTTTACTACGTTAAAGAGCTTCAAGAGAATAGATTAATCAAAAGAAGGGCTTTGTTCTCACCTCGGACATTTCGATGATGCCGTCAGAGTTCTTGTCAAAGTTGGCCATGAACTCCTTCAACTTTTCTTTGAACGAAGCGTGTGAGGGGTCCTGCGACCGCATCGGACACGAAAACACAAGAAAATGTGTTTATTTAGGACCACTAATCACAGAAATGTGGAAAAACTATAGTGACATTGTCTTCTTTTAACGGATTGTTCATGTTAAGTCATAAAGAAACCCAAATAAAGGCCTAAATTAACAGCTTGTACCGTATTTTTCGGACTGTAAGGCGCACTTAAAATCCTTTAATTTTCTCAAAAATCAACAGCGAGCCTTATAATCTCATCTAATAATCGGTGCGCCTCATGTATTAATTCTGGTTGTTCTTACTGACCTCGAACTGATTTTATGTGGTACACGGTGCTCAAAAATCTGTCAAAATGTTTTAGTTTCGCGTAATGAGCTTATAATCCACTGCGCCTTATAGTCTGATAAATACGTTACTGTTCTTATTGAAAAGCTTTATATTTTAAACAATGTATTGAAAAAGGGTGCATGGCATCCCTTCTGTCTCTTCCTGTGAATATTTGTACTTTTTAACACTAGTTTTAAACTTAACTGGGCAAATGTCTTGAGTCATCCCTCTGTTTGTTTTGTGCCTTTCTTATAATTTAAATTAGCCTCGATCGAGACTTTCTAAAGCTCTTTCAAAGTTTTTCTTTGGACTACAGCTGCTGAACCTTTTCAGAGGAAAGTTTCCTCGTTGGTGTCGAGCCACTAATGTCTGTTAGTTGATTTCTATGGTACGTTTAAAACAAGTTAAGTTTGACTAAAGTGAAAACCGAAAAAAGTCCATGCTCAATAATCCAGGTGTACAATCCAACAATTTTCAGTCAGGTCATCTGGACAGTTCCTTTTTTTTTTTTTT